AATTTTCTATAATGTCAACTTTAAGTACTACCCAAATGGGCGTAAGGGGCTACTTATGCGTATGGACTCTAGATCGTCTAGCGCTCGAGCAATATGATAAATAGACATTGAAATTTTATGAAATTGTATATTTTTGAAAGAGGAAAGGTGTGTAAAAAACAAAAACAATACGAATAAATCATGTTAACTTTACTAAAGATCTGAAATCCCTTAAAGGAAATGGCAGAATCGAACTTTGTTACAAGTTCACATGGGAAATCTGCTTGCGACGGGATTGGAGGAAATTTTAAGAGACTAGCAGCTAGAGCAAGTCTTCAACTCCTGACGTTACAACAAATTCGTACACCTGAAGCCCTCTACCAATGGGGTAAGAATAATTTAGAGAAAAAGAACGTGCTGTATGTTTTCAGTGGGATGTCTGTAAAAAATAACTGCAACTAACTTAACAGTGGACTTTATTTCGACTATGACTACGTGCCAATTACTTTAATCCTATATTAAGCTAGTTTAAAAGGTTAAATAACATCAAGTTAGGGAACTTCATATCCTTCTTTAACGAATCTTTAAATCAATAAATAATTTTTTTTTCTTTTTAGTTCTTATTGTAATAAAAACCAACAACACGCTTTTTTCAACTATAATTTTATTACTCATTAGGTTTATTTTTTTACACACCTTTCCTTTTTCTTGTTTTAATAAAAGGACTAACGAAGCTATCATTCGAGGTCTAATATACTTTTGCAATGAGTGTTGTTGATGTTGATGTTGTTGATGTTTCGGTTTCATTGCAAACGAATATTATACCTCCAATAATAGCTTCAAGTAATCGTATTCGAATGAAGTATTTTTTTTGACAGCAATTAAGACACCACCACCCTTGTGAGGACAATTCGTTTTTCTGCGAATTAAGACCGGTTGTTGTTTTCTTATTGGAAAAGGAGTTGTCTGTAGAGGCTCTCCTGTAATTCAAAAGTTCTGCCTTCTGTTCAATGACACATGTAATGTCAAGGACCTCCCTTCTAAGGGATGTCACAAAGGTAGGGTATCATCTACATACATTGCTAGCCGGTAAGTTATTGCACTTAGCAAATATCGACTCACCGCGTTCATTTGTTTCTGAGCTGTCCCATATGTGATGAGCATTCGCGTCCGCTCCTATGATCATCGAGTCCGCGTCTTGAAGCCACCATTACTGCGTTCCTTAAGGATTGGGGTGGAGATGCGCCATGAATGTAGAGGCCAACCAAATCGACCTTCCGCTGAATTCCGCTGCTAAAGTGTATCAAAAGAAATGCATTAATACACTTTTTTATCAATATGCACGACTTGGGGCTCTATTCTGTAACCGCGAGTTTTCAAGTGTACACTGAAAATTGTGTGCACTCTACATTTTGCGATTCAGGAAGAGTGAGAATGAGTTTTAGCTGTCAAAATGGTGTAAACTTCCTCATTTTGCGATTCAGCATGTGTGAGAGTGAGTTTTAACTGTCAAAATTGTGTACACTTCTCTTCCGAAAAACTCACTGAATTTTAGTCCGTGAGTTTTTGGTTGTGAGTATTGCACTCGGTGTACACTACATTTTCTCACAGTTACAGAATAGAGCCCCTGGGCATGCAACACGTAACTTTGAAACGAAATTCGTTCAAACGATAGCGACAAAACGATGTCGTTCATTCATGTATTTGTGTTGCTTACTATCGTGTCGACTATCGTAATGTCGTCAACAGTTTGAAAATCATTTTTTTTGTGAAACTTTGATATTTGAAATTTGAATAAAACAAAAATTTTGGAAATAAATTGAAGAATTAATTTTTTCCCTGCTGTGTCAATAGCTACTGTAGCTGAATGGATGCGTTTTCGACTAGCACATTGTTGGTCTCGGGTTCAATTCATCGTGACATGAATTTTTTTATTTATTTGCTTTTTTTATAGCGAGTTTTTATCTTTATCCTTATACTTTATTACGATAAGGAAGCTAAGCAAAAGGGGTTAAGCGGTTTCCGAAATATTTGTGCCTATTGTTTTTTAATTCCATAAGTACTGCTTCAACTGGAAGATCTGGAGGACAAGAAATATAAAGAAAACATAATGGATATTATCTTTACAATAGCGAGCGCTTAGTTACAGGATATAGCGAGAAATATTGGATATAAAATAAAAGTCGCTTAATTTATTAGCAAAATATAAAGATAAATAAAAAGATTGGCCCATAGTCATAGTCGCAAGTTAAAACTCATTCTTGATAAAATACAGATTTAAGTTTAGAATATATTTTTAAGTTTTGTTAATCATAGACATCTTAGAAACAGCTTTTTGTTAAGATGAGAGAGAGCAGTACTATCCTAAATTTACCCGGCAATATAAAGAAATATGAGTACTTTAATTAGTTCACCCTGTGTCCGCTACAGGATTGCGGATTTAGCAAGCCGGGAAGTCGTGGGTTTGAATTCCATTGCCAGGGAACATTTTTTTTACATCTGTTTTTGTTCTTTTAAATATTATTTAAATTTTTATTATTTAATTATAGTTGTTCTGACCTTTTAAAGTAAAATTAAACTCCAAAAAATTTGATTAATAACGAAATAATTATATGAAATACCATAAACAAAAAAAGATAATAAAGCAAAATTTAATAAAATAAAATAATGTTTATGTTAAACAAAAAAAATGTTTGGAATCGCTCGGAGTGGGGACCGAACCTGGGTGCTATTGCGTTTACTACTTCAACAACAACACAAAACTTAGAACCTTATTTAACCATTTTTAACCGCGTTCTCCTCATTTTAAAATTAAAATTCTGTTTTTGCCATAAAATGCATTTTTAGTTGACTATGAGAGAGTTAAAATGATGATTACAATAAAACACAATTTTAATCGTTAAAACCTTTATCTAACTTCTCTATGGCTACGGGTCATTGTAAATGGTAAAGATTGTAAAAGATAGTAAAAAAGATAAATATAAAAGATTGTAAAAAGACTCCTTTTTGTCTGCAAAAAAATTACATTCATATTCAAATTAATGTTATGGGTCAGCTACTCACCGACGGAGCGCCCTTCCGTACATATCAACATATCAAATTGCTGTCGATAGGAGAGAATCTCTACGTGTAACAACAACTGTGAGTCTTGCGGTGGTGAGTTTTCGTTAACACAAAGATAGGTCGGGTCAGCTGACACCGTCCCTGATTTTACGTTTGTGGTTAATTGGAACATTAAAATTATGAATAATGAGTTCCGTTCGGTAACGCAAGTGTCATTTTCAGTCAACTACTCATAGCCACCTCCGTTAAGTGATGCTAAAGAGGACATATACATATACATTAATACTACTGGAATTTAAGTTGAGGGACTTCGTTTTTCCTTAATTTCAGCCTAAGCGACCCTGCAAGAAACATACTGGTAAAACTACTTGTAATTTGACCTGGAGCCGTGACTGAAAGTTTCCGTAAATCCTTCAGTAACATTGTGAAGAGCTTTGGGACGTTTTTGACCGTTTCCTTCCATTACATACCTATTTGTGTGTTTGTACATACTGCTCTTACTCATAGGTTATGAGCATGACCAACTGTATAGCCGCACCGCTCATTCACGTCATCAATACTCGTTGATTTACTAGTCATTTGACGAGGAGATTTTTAAGAGATTTACTATCGTATTGACAGTAATGTTACGAGAAAATGTCTGACCAAAAGAGAGTAAAACTCCAAGTCATTTGACGAGGAGATTTTTAAGAGATTTACTATCGTATTGACAGTAATGTTACGAGAAAATGTCTGACCAAAAGAGAGTAAAACTCCAAGTCATTTAACAACCATTTTTACCGACGTTTTACAGTAAAATAATTAGACAAATTTCAATGTAATTTACTTAACATAAACCAATAAAAACCAATTTATTTAGAAATAAATATGCATTTATTTTTCATTTGGGTATACATACGTATATCAAGATCATTGTCATTTTTATATCTATGAATATAGAATACACTTGTCTGTATCTACAAATATACTACTATTTAATTGCTTTAATTTTATACTATTAGTTATTTTAATTCATAAAAAATTTAATATTGGTTCTAAGGTTTTCTTACATTATTTCTAAGTTAAATTATTGCTTGTAGGTATGCAATATCATTTACTTTATTTAATTAGAGAATTTAGGATTTATTATTA